GTAAAAAGGTGATTTCAGCAAAACTAATTTATCTTGTTGCCTTTACCAAGACACTGTAGGTGTTGTACTGCCGTAAAATACAGCTTAGTGAAATTATAGTAAATGTAGTTGTTATTAATGATAAAATTCATCCAATACAGAAACCTTTCAATTAATATCTTGTAGCTGACTGAACTGTTTGTTTTTGTTGTTGTTGTTGTTTTTATCTACAGGCAATCATTGCAGAATAAAGCTCCTTTTACAAGTTATCATGACAATGTGAGTAATATGAGATTAATTAAATCAAATCAAATCAATTTATTTATATAGCACCTTTCACTGGATAAAATCCACAAAGTGCTTCACAGTAATATAAAAACAGAAATACATAAAATACATCAATAATCAAACATACAGCACAAATCTAATTAAAAGCCAATCTAAATAAATGAGTCTTAAGCTGCTTTTTAAAAGAATAAATACAATCAAGGCAACGTACTGATGGAGGGAGAGCATTGCACAACCTAGGGGCCACCACTCTAAAAGATCTATCTCCTCTGGTTTGTGGGACTACCAACAGCCTTTGAATAGATGATCTCAGGCTGTGTAAAAGGCTGTAAAGGCTGTGTGAAAGGGAGCGTGGGGTTCTAAAAGTTCAGAAATGGAGGCAGGGGCATCACAATTCAAAGCTTTAAAAGTCAGTACCGAGATTTTAAAACTGCGTAATTATAAGTCCTAGAGTAACATGTACAAAAGAAAAAGAACAGGACCCAGAACTGAACCCTGCAGTACCCCACATGTCAGATCCTTAGAATGTGACATAAACTGATTTGCAAAAACACTAAAACATCTGTTGGAGAGGTATGACTGAAACCACTTCAAAGCCAGACCGGACACACCGACTACGTCCCGGAGCCTGTTAACTACTAATCAAAGTGGGCACTTTGTTTAGCAGCAAACAATCCATTTTCTACCACTTGTTTGGGCAGTAATGTAAGCAGAGATGCTCAGACAACTGTATGTACACAAACAAAAAACAAAAGTATGGAAACTTTTGCTGTTTCCAAAAGTCTCAATTTAAAGAGTAGTCCTGATGATTGGTCTAAACATAGTAATTATTATATTTTAAATAACATTTTGCACTAAAACATATTAGTATGTATATTTTAGTGTTTTCCAGGGCGACACCAGTTAGACATGTCCTATCTTCCTCACCTAGGAGTACCCAGCAAGTAGAGGTGGGAATCACCATACATCCCACGATACGATATTATTGCAATTTTTTAAAATATTTTGCGATATTCAGATTCTGTACATAAAGGTAAACTTTATCAATATTCATTTTATCTAATATCAAAGTCTCACACTCAGTCTTTCTCTCATTT